GGAAAAGCGCAGTCGGCTGCGGGAGAGTGGGAAAATCCAGCAGGAGAGGAGGAAGGCGGCGGCGCTGAGGAAGGGCAGCGGGAGGAGCCCGTGTCCCCCCGCGGTGCAGCCAGGCCTGGGCTTTCTTCCTTTTCCTTTTTTCTCTCCCCTTTTCCTCCTGCCTTGGCTTTGTTTCAGGTGTGACAGAATAAGGAAGGGGGCAGCGCCGCGGCCCGAATGGGGCCCTGCCCTTTCCAACCGGGAAAAGCGGCGCTGCTTCCTTGCGGGGGGTGTTAGCGGGGGTGCCCAACGTCGCCCTCGGGAGCGCGGGCCGGGCGAGCTGAGCCCCAGCGCTCAGAGGGTTCCCTTGGGAAGCCCGGGCGAGCTGCCGGCTCCAGCCGGCGGTCCTGCTCGCTGGGGAGAGGAAGAGAACCCGGGATTAGCGGGACCAGGGCCCCCCACCGTGTCACTCCCTGCCCTTCCCACGCGGCCGCAGACGGCGTCTGCACGACCCCCTCGACACCTTCTGTCCTGTCCCGGCCGCGTTGTAAATAGATACGAATCATATATATAAAAATATATATAATTTTTTACATCTTCTTCCTCTCTTCTCTTTTCTAGTGCGCTTTTCTTAGTAGAAATAAAAGCCGGGAGGGAGGAACGCCGCCCTGGCTCCGTGCCCGGCGGGGCCGGAGGGCAGCGGCAGCTCCCGAGCCGTGTTTGTTCCCTGGGATGCAGGAAATGCCGAGCGCGTTTGCTCAGCTGGGGGAAGTGCCACAGGCTCTTACGTAAAAACATAATAAATAATAAAAAAAAGGATGTCGGAGGAGCGCCACGGGCACATCGTGTCCCTGAGGGGACGCGGTGGCCTTGGCCACGCGGCTGCTGCTCCCAGTGAAGGATCTTGTGCCGGAACGGGGGAGCCGAAGGGAAGGAAAGGGGGTGTCTGTGACCCCCAACCCCTGGGGACAGGGCCAAGCAGGGCCGGGGGACACTGGGGGACACAGGGGCCTGTCCCAGCCCTGGGCACCAGGACTCCAGCCCAGCCTGACTGGCAGCCACCTCCGCTCAGTGCTGAGGAATCTGGGGAGCCAGAGGAGGGAGTTTGTAATTTTTTTCCCTTTTTGCACCCCAAAATCCCCCCCAAAAGCGGGGGGGAACCTCCTGCGGCCGCCCCAGCCCCATTGGAGCGTCCGTCCCACTGCGCCCGGGCG